ACTAAAATAACAAAGCACACTTGATATATTACCTTTTATAATGTTTTCCTGCCTTTTTATAATATTGGATTTTCATTAAGCCTCTATTTCGCCTTTATTTCTTAAAACTAAAATTTTATGAAACTCGTTTTTAATCATACATTTTATGGAACCTATAATTTTTATCCATTTTTTACTGAAATGTTTCATTTACTTTTATCAAAATCTACAAAAAAATCTAATTTTTTTATCAAAACCAAATAGGGGACAAATATTTTTGTCTTTGAAGGATGATTTCAATGAATAAAAAAATCACCAATTAAAATTATTTTTGTAGATAAAAATGAATTTCTTATTCATTTAACTATGGGATAGGTTTGCAACTTAAATTTTAAGAATGTATGCATAATTTTATTAGTATCTATTTGTGAATGATGTTATCTTTTTTATGAGAAAGCTTCATAAAAGAAATTTTTTAAAACATAACTAATAGAGATATATAATTTTGTGTAAAAGTAAATGAAAAAATTTTATGCAAATGACGCAATAAAAGTAAATAAATATTATTAATTTATAAAGAGATAGATGAATGAGAAATAAAATAATTAGTTAGATGAAAATGAAATAGTAGTTGAATTTTTGGGGGAAAATAAAGAGTTGAAATATCAGTATGATTCGTTATTTTCGATTATTGATTTTTTGATCTATTTAAATCAAAACTTTGTAAATTAATTAGCATAATTTATTTTTTGTTACCATGTAGTTAAGTCCTTGTTTCAATTCCATTTTATCAAAAATTCATTTTTAACCAGACACTCTCCAATAAAATAATTTTACTGTAAATCGAATTTTTTTGCTTATTTCTTTATTACACATGTTATACCCATAAATAACTTCACATAAACCTTATTATTGGACGAGGCCCATTAGAGTTGGACAACATAGGCATAAGAGGCAACCAAGTAAAAGCCCAAGCTAAGGCTCTCAAGGCGGTCATCCGAGATGCCTTAAAGGGCTAGCCGAGGTGCTCCCAAAGGGTCAGCTGAGGTGCTTCCAAGGAGTTAGCTGAGGTACCTTAAAGGGCTAACCGAGGTGCCTTCCAAGATGGCCAAAGTGCCTGACAAGGTAGTTCACCGAGGCCCTCCAAGGCTCAGCCAAAGTGCATCCTAAACCCAACCCGAAGCTATCTAAAGATCATTCGAAGTGGTCTAACCAAGGCACAAGAAGTGGTCTAACCGAGGTGCCTTCAAAGGTGCTGCCAAGTTCCCAAGAAGCCCAGCTGAAGCACTTGCTGAGGTATTCATTGCTATGCTAATACAATCGCCTCATACTAGGCTTAGACCTAGGCCCAATGAATCACTTAGCCCATTTCATTTATTTATAAATATGAGAATCCCTTTCATTTCCAGATATGCCTAAACACGTTAAAACATTTTAACAACGTTCCTTCTCTCTCGAATATTGCACTTCATATTTATATCTCCGTCCGGTCACTGACTTGACCGTCAAAGTGCAAACAGTCGCTGGGCCCTTTTCACGGCCTGTAGCCTTTGCCTCTTAATGAAGTGCCACGTGTGCAGGTACGAAGAAGATGATATTGAGATTCTGTTGACAACATTTTTTGGGGTCAACAACACATTTTCAAAAAATATTATTCTAGAATACCTTTTTTTCCCTCCAAAAAGAGGCTCAAAGAGGGGCTAAATATAAAATGTAAATAGTAAATTCACTTCAATTATTGTGGATGATTTAGTTGTTGCACTTGAATTTCCAAGTCTGAAACTCGACTTGTCATAATACATTTTGTCTCTTTGTATCTGGTCAATGTAACTCTCGAATAAAAAGAAATACAAATTGAATATATTAGAATTTCTCTGAAAAACTATAGAAAATTTCACAAAACATATTGTCCTTGTTTGAGCCCCATTTTTTTGAAAAATACATTCTGCATCAGTGTTTTGACATCATTTCAACCACACATTGTTCAATAAAATAATATTACATGAAAATCTAAAATTTTTCCTCATTTTTTAATCATACATTTCACATCATTACACTATTCAAAAATAGATTTTCTTGACAAAAATGGAGCTCAAACAAGAGCAATATCATTCAAAAACCTCAACCTCTAGTCAATATAATCATTAAAAAAGAGCTCATAAGTCATAACACATATGTACTATTATAATTATTACTATTAGGTTCAACACCTGTTACATGCAGTTGGTACACCGGTTCACACCTGCTGAACCGACCGCGTACTCCCCCATATTTAGTTATGTTGTGACAAAAATAGAATGTCTTAAGCTTGAAAGGTTTTTTTTTTTTTTTTTTTGTATAAAGTTATTTAATCTTAATCTTGTTTTTGTGAATATTTATTCCTCATCTAATGGGCAAACTAAAACTGATATAAAATATTTAAATATAATATTAACGAAAAAGAATCTAAGGAAAAATAGATATTTTTCAACAAAATACATAAAAAGGGAAAAAAAAAAGTTATAAGAATCCAATTTATTATCAATAAAAAAAAAGGAAAAAGAAAAGAAAGATTGAAAAAATAAATATTTTTTTTGTGAAAGTTTCCCAAAATCTCGTGATTAATGAGAGCAAATTTTGAGATTTTATATGAGTACTTTTTACTTAAAAGTTAGTACTCTATAGATTTTTATAAAAGTTTCTAAAAATCATTAAAATTTGAATACCCGAAAACTTATAGAGGCTTCTAAAAAATCTCAATTGAATATACCGTGACTTTTAAATATTTCTTAAAAGTCTATAAAAGTTTCAATTGAATACATTAATACTTTTAAAGAGCCTCAAGAAATTTACATCGAATATCCCTAAACTTTTTAAGTCTCAAAAAATCATTAAAAGTTTCAATTGAATATACTCCCTTAGATTCCAATTCCTTTCACATTTTTTTTTTAAATCATGATAATTTTACTTTAATTTTTCAAACTTAGTATAGTATAAATGTAAAGAGTATAAAATTAGATAAAATGCTACTAAATAAAACATTTAATGAATTTTCAGCTAGCTTTAAAAATAATATTTATGTATTTGATCATTATTTCTCAGTTGTATTTAAAAAAAAACATTTAATTTAATGATTTTATTAGAATTTTCATAGCTTTATTAAATTATTTTACAACATTTGTTTATTTTATAAATGGATTGTCTTTGTAATCATCATCGACCTTAAGGGGAGTTTATGTAATTTGCTATTTTGTTAATTTTCCTAGAAGGCGAACAACAAAAAAAGTCATTAAAAAAAAAATCCATTATTTACTTTAGCGAAGTTGACCTTTAGTGAACAAGTCGTAGTCCAAGAAATACACTTAGCCCACATTAGGTGCGTTATAGAGCTAAATAAGGAATACTTTAATTTTATCTAGTATTTGATGTAAATGATACTCAATTAGATTAATACGCTTAGTGATTGAATAGAATAACTCCCGAATATTTGACGATCTCATATTGTAGATATCAATTGATAAGTATCAGACTATTCATTCATTCATCATGTTGATGAATGTAAGAAAAATTCGCTTTTTAATATTTTTATTAATTAAAGTTTAAAAAAAAGGCAAGTTACTTATTATTTTTTTTTTTTGTGAGTAAATGAGTAAGTTTTAAATGATTAACTTTTTAATTCAAAAATAAAATGATAAGTTAACGTATAAATTATTTAGAAGGTAACTATTTTTTATTTTTTTTAAAGTATGTTGTTCAAACATATTTATGAAAAAGAGTCACTTAAGTACATTTTTTTTTTAATACTTGATCAAAAATATTGTCGTAAATATTTACTTTCAATATTGTGCATTTTTCTTAATTTAGTGTAACTCCAAATATTTAAACAATATTTTTATCGAACTTTTAATGACAAGTAGATCCATGCCATAAGAATTGGTTATGTAGCAAGAGAAATTAGTAAAAGAAAGCTTAGTAAAACGCAAGCAGGGCTGATTGCACAAAGCTACTACTAACCAGCTTAGCACTGTTGGGGGTTGGAAAATCGAACAGAAGAAAAAACGAACGGGACAGAATCATTAATATGTGATGAGCGGTGATGGCGAGTGGATGAGTATTGAATTTGAGAACGAACGGAGGAGCGGGTTTCCAGAAAATCTGCTCCCTCTCTCCACCCGTCTCTCTCTTGGCGTGTGTAATTTATGCGTGGCCCTCACTCAATACTCTTTTGAAAACATTATCATTTTTTTTGGCTGTTTCTTTGTTGTAACACCCACCCAGCACATCGTCCACCCTCGTACCAAACGGGACCATAATCAGTCTATGATCGACCTAATTGATCTGTATATCTACCTTATACATCAGCATTTACAACCCAGAAAGCGTTTTTGATATTTGTACATATTCAAAAATCAAAAATTTCTTTTCTTTTAACAGTTTCTTATGATTTGATCAATATCTTCCTTCTATATCAGCATTTTTGAACAAAACCCAGAAAGCATTTTTGACATTTGTACAAATCCAAGATCAATTTTTTTTCTGTTTTTGATAATCTGATCGACCTTTTGCCAACGATCCCTTGAAGGTATTGCATTAAGTTGAAAGTTCTATTTTGTTCTTTCAAGAATCATGGGTATCTTGGTTTCTGTGTGAACATGTATAAATCAGCATTTTATTTTTTACGGCTTTTATTTATTTATAGTTGGAGAGGCTTTTCAACTGCAGGATCAAGAGGGATTTAGTTTTTCTCGAATCTTGAAATTATTTAGTTTCTTTGAGGTCTCGACTTCCGTGATTATTTAAATTTTTTGCTAATATTTTTCACTGCTTCAATTGAATCTTGAAAGAAAAAGGAGAGTTTGTATATATAGTTTGATGATCTTAATTGGAGTTTTCCTTGGTGTTGTTTGGCTTGAAATTACAGGCCACAAGGAATCTATAGATGACGACGTTTCCAATTTATTTCTGGATTTTTTCATTCCATCAACTTTTATTATTAATACTTTTATTTTTATTATTATTATTTTTTTACTGGTGCTCTGTTCTCGTGCAATATTGAATACACTTATAATTTGTCCATCCAGTTAGTATTTAGCCAAATATTGTATCTATTTATTACTCAATGTGATGGAAAATATGTTTGTGCTTTTACATTTCAGTGTGGAGTTCGTCGGATTTGAAATCTGATATATTTTTCCATCAAATTTGATCGTTTGATTTGTATTGGTTGAATGGAGGAGATTTCGCTTCATTACATAATTTATTGTTGATTGCATTGATAGATTTCAATGATTTAGCACTTAATCCTTTTGATTATACTGTTTCATATAAGTTTTATGATTGATCCTCATCCCTTTCTATTTTGTTTTAGCATTTTGCCTCCTTGAAAACACTATAATATGGTTGGACACTATAATATGGTCCTTTAGGTCCATTGCTAACTTACAATTCCGGCAAATTTTCAAGTTCAACAAAGAAATGCATGGTTTATACAATATATATATGTAGGAGGGAGAGAGAAATATATTGGGGTAAATAGGAGATTTCAAAATTACTTGATAAAACATGAGATGTGCATTTTTCATCAAATGCTAAAAACCGTATTTAGCTTATAAATTGTAAAGTTCCTAATCAATTTCCTATTGCTGTCTGAGTAATAATTTCCCTTAAATTAAATTGTTGTATTTCAGTTCATTATATGCTAGTAAGTGATTTTTATGATGGCCTTTCCATTTTTCATGCAAAGAAAAATAATTCATAATTATGGCCAACATTGGTAAACCAACTTACTATGAATAGTGGATGTGTTGGTCACATGCAGCTGAAGAAATGTAATGACTTTTAGTCTCTAGAATTTGTGTGCTAGATTGTGGAAACTGGAATAAAATCCTCAAATCCTTTACAAGGAAAGTAGGGGAAATAGCTTCAAAACACAAGATTGATCGTGGTTTTAAGAAGATTTGTGTGCATTAGAATGTGGCAACTGAAATAAAATACTCGTTTCCTTTAAAAAGACTGCAGGGGAGATAGCTTTAATAACAAAAAATTGAGTGTGGTATAAGAAGATTTGGTGAATGGTGTGTATATGCAGGCAAGGCGAGTGATAATAAAACTCATTTTGGGCTATAAAGCAATAGGCAGGGCATGTACAAGCAACTCGAGTGTTGCATTCTTAGAAATCATGGCATAGTAATGAGATGCCTTAGTGTATTTTTTACATCTATGAAGAAGGGTGGGAAATGAAATCAGTCTCTCCCGTGTTTTTGTTTTTATTAAATCTTAAACATCCATTTCATTCATAATGCGTAATATCATACAATTTCACGAATCTTTCTATTTAATATCTCCCCAACTTTGGCTTGAGAAATGCTTATAATGGTCAATTATTTTTATCATGCTCCTGCCTTCTCCTACAAGGAAAATATCAATTTGAAATATTAAAAGAATGGAGAAGAAAGCAAATTAATCTGAAGTGAAAAAAGGAAGAAAGGAAGAAGAGAAATAAATGAGATATGTGCTGGAATAAAGGTCAACAATAGCACCAAAAATATCATAGTCAGTTTTGTAATTCGATTCTGTTGAGTTTTATAACCTTGATCCTCCCTGTATATTTTAACCAAAACTCTTATTTTGCAGGTGGAATATGGTTGATTACGCACTTCCTTCTTCAGAAGGACTTCCCTAGTAAATTAAATAGTTTTAGAAATGTATGGAGGTAACAAGAAGAATTCTGCAGTCCTTCCTTTTTTTGACAGCAAAAATATCCAGTGTCCTGCTGAGGCCTCAAATCAGCCACAGTTATATGGAAACTGTAAGTCGTACAATATTAACATAAGTGGGATATTCATTTGTTCAAAGATTTTACTCTATTTGTGCCTATAAGGTGATGATATGGATGCACTTTTTACTGCAATTACACAAGTTACTGGCTTTCTGGTTCATGCTTACTCGATATTTTCCCTCTGAACATGGGATAAATAATGATGATGATTGAGTACCTAGAGTTGCATGTTAAACACATTATCAGGTTAAACATGCTGGAAATGGTTCTATCTTCTGAGCTTAAGATGGTCATGATTGCAAAACCTTCTGAAATGTACATTTTTTATGTTAAATTTGACATGTCAACGTTTAGGGGATAGTTTGTGTGCAGGATTGGATTGGTCTGGACTCGACAATATTTAGTTTCTTTTTCTTTTTCCTTTTTAATAATTTCCTGTTCAATCCATCCAACCAAAAAGGCCATTAAGACACCCTGGTTAATTGGATAAGTGGTAAACTCCTGTAGGAGCATGCACCGTGAAGCCTGATCCTTATCTCTGCATAATAGTGGAAATATTAGTTATTTGTTTTGCCAGAAATCAGAGTACTCCGAACTCTTAACATCTCCACTGAGTTCTCCATGCAAATATTTCCGATCATTACTATGTATCTCTTCATCTCCGATAATCTGTTTATTATATTAGCTACGTCTCATATAATTTAGTTACTTTCATCATCTTGTAATTTATGGCTAAAGATATCTTCCCCCTCTTATGATTGTTCTACTTTTTCCACGGTGTTAATAGTAACAGTGACCACATCTATTTCTCTGAGAGCTATGCTAGCATTAGTATGGGTCGATGCGTTAAAAAACATTTGATGTCATTGACATTTGAATAGCATTAGACTAAATGGAGTGGCAAAAATGGATTGATGTAGTTAGCCCATGTTTATTGGATGAGTTGGTGATGTAGAAGGGGGGGAAAAAAAAAAATAAATAAATAAAAAAATAAAAAAAAAAATTATTGAACTAAGAGAAAAAAATGTAGCAAGAATTTTAACGTCACTGGATCTATTAAATCTAACAGATGAAAATTTTTCTCAAGATTCTTATTCATCTACTTGAAATTTTCAAAAATGCCAAATGTGTCAAATTTTCCATTTTTAGAATAATACACCCGAGGAGGGATGTCTCAGATGAGCTAGTTGGTTAGGTCAATAGCTATGAACTCACCATGGGAATAGTTTAAAACATAATGGACTTGATCTCAGAAGAGACACAACATTACGAGGTGAAGAGCTTACATCGAGATGCCAAACCTTGATGGGGTCCACATTAGTGAGAAATGCTAGTCGTATACATAATTATGTATAACAATATTGGAAAGTTCCCAAAATAGTAAAATAGAAAACTTCGATAGCTTAGAAGCAACGAGAAAATAATTCTGAATGAATCATAACCTACTTCCTACTCATATGTCTGATATATCTAGGTCAAATATCTCAATTCTCATTGAATTTTCTCATATGTTTTCGAGCTGTCATTAAATTTTATATGATTTTCAAGTTTGCATCGAACTTTTTCAAATCAATCATGCTAAATTTAGATCCTTTTTTACATCATTTTTTATATTGTGCCACGTGGCGATACATGATTGAACAATTTTGGAGCGGGAAAAAAAAGGGTTTCCTGTCAAACAATTTTTGAATTCCAATGTGATTGTACACAAAGATGTCAATCAAACAATGTACGCTTAGCATTATTCTTTCCAAAATGAATCTGAGTTACCATTGAATTTAAAAGTTTTTTGAGTTGTCATGGAGTTTACCAAATTTTTAACCCATCTGTCTTCCCACCATTTTCCGTTTCAAAAGTTAACAGACTTGATGATTATTAGACAATTTTTTACACGTGGCAATGTGGCATGCTTTTGACGTTAGTGTATGCCAGACCACCAAAATCGCTAGTGGTGTGCATTTTCAAAACGGTGAGTAGTGGATGGGATAACGTTTGGCAACTCGAAAAATTTTTGAAAGTTCAATGGCAACTGGAAAATATTTGGGGTAAGTTCAATGACAATTGAAAAACATTTGACCCAAATATCTATCATAATTTTCATTGCTTACTGCTTAGCTTCTAGTAGTTGTTGTTGGTCCACATCTATTTCGATCAGGCATGATGTGGCTGCATAGGAAGTATCCTTCCCAAATCAGGCATAATAAGCTTTTTTTTAATATATTTTAGATAATGTGGGTTAAGAGTTGGGACGCTTATTCAAGGAGGGTTGTCTCCAAGAGGGTATTCATTCCATGTGTAGCAATATAATCTGTATAAGGGATGATATTTGTACTACTTGGGTTTTGGAATAAAAATAATTAATCGCCTCATCTTTTGAATCTTGATTGCCTTTTAATATAAATGAGAACTCTTTGATGTGTTCTGTTCTATTTGTTTCACAGTGCTGATTGATTTTCATGTCGAATCAGTAAATTTTCTCCAAAATAAGCATGGCAGTCCAGGTCTCCCACATAATGAATGTGGCTGGGACACAGAAGCTATCTTGAGGTGCCAGAACCTTCAAATTTACTTGAATAACGACACTTGTCATGATGAAGCTAATAGACTGAGAAGCATTTCGAACCAGAATCCTGTTTCGACTGGATTGAGGTTGTCTTATGATGACGATGAGCATAACTCCTCCTCTATTACTTCTGCAAGTGGAAGTATGATGGCTTCATCGTCAATTATTTCGTCTCTCATAAATGACATCAAAACAGAATTCGACCAGCAGAATGAAGAACTCAAAAACTATATCAGAATTCAGGTACTTTTCGCTATTTCATTTTTTAATGAACTGTTTAGTTATACGGCCAACCATCTTTCTCTATCCAAATGAAGTTCCTCATTCGAGTTTAATCTACATAATTTAATTTTTCTTACTACTTGCTGTATCCTGATTTTCTGCTCACTAATTTTAGTTTCTTTTGAACAGGAAGAACATATAGCAAAAGGGGTAAGTGACATGAAACAAAGACACACGACTTCTTTGTTGATTGCTCTAGAGAATCGAGTCGGTAAGAAGTTGCAGGAGAAAAACCTTGAGTTCGAGAGCATAACTCGTAAAAACCGGGAACTTGTTGAGAGTATGAAGAAAGTTACAGCTGAAGCCCAGAGTTGGTGCTATATGGCTAAGAATAATGAGTCAATGTGTGACATACTAAAAACCAATCTCCAACAGGCAATGCAAGACTCTAACCAAGGGAAAGAAGGATTCGGAGATAGTGACATGGATGATGCTGCATCTTTCGTTGATCCAAACAAATACCTCGGCTTACCAGGTGGATCGGGCAAGCCTAAATCAGATAAGAATAATTTTTTATGTAAATTATGTAAAATGAAGGATGCGCGTATATTGTTAATGCCTTGTAGACACCTCTGTCTGTGTAAAGATTGTGAAGGTTCTGTTCATCTGTGTCCTGTGTGCCGGTTGATAACCACTGCTCATATCGAGGTGTACTTGTTGTAAAGAATTATGTTTTGATTTGGCATTTCACTTCTCATATGCTAAATGTATGTTATCAAATTTTATAAGTGTGCAAATGGATTGGTGGGTTTGTTATTTGGATGAAGCCAAATGCTAATAATATGTTTGGTACGCTGGATTGATGATAATTAAACTAGCTTGTGAACATGAAGCTCGGGGAAGATTTATGAAGTTAGTTTCCATGTTAAGTTCTCTGCATTGCATCTTAAAGGAACGGTCATGAATCTATTGTGTTTAAAAGGAAAATCGATTATGCTTCTCGGGAGTAATAGAATTCATTTGTTCATCAGAGACAGCAATGTGTAGAATTTTTGCACAAGACCATGCTCAATGAATGAAAAAAACATGAACAATTCTTCCAACTTGGAATCAATGCCTATAAATACCTCAGTGAAAATCCATCTTCTTTTCACGAACTGTTGCCTCTAACTTAATCTTCCTCTAATGAAATCCCAGAAATGCCTCCAAGAAGTTGAAGAATCTTTAGTTGAAGAATCTTTCTTGTATTCATAATGTTCTTCCAAGCCATTTGACACAGTCAAGTGACACCATGTCAAGCTTCCTTAGACCTGGAAAAATCCAACCCAGAGCTTTCTCCGGCTTCTGACCATTATTCTCTGACGAAGTTTCGATTTTGACCTCCAGATCATTGAGGCTGTGGACTCGATGAAGGAGACTCTTTCATGATTTTCGAGGTATGATTTAAGTCTACATCCTCTTGACAAGCCAGACACGTTTCTTTTGAATTCTGGTATTTTTCACACGTCTTCCAATTTGGCGTACCATTGCGTAGAATTATGACCATATGATCCCGTATCACGTAGAATTTCCATCCCCTACGTGCCAAAATAACGCTCCTTCCATCGTAACAGTGATCTTGTATGTCTTGCAATTTTGCTAGAAGTCGGTTGAGAGAATATGAGATTATAGCTTCAAGATATATTCTGGACGCCTATGGGGTAGGTTAAAAAGGCTTAAGAAATCGGTTCATGATACAAGTTTCATCGCAATTCTAGTATAAAAATCGTTTAGCCTAACATGCTAAGAAGAAGGAGAAGAAGGAGAAGAAGAAGAAGAAGAAGAAGAAAAATGTTCATCACCCAGAGTTCCTCGCAGCAGATTTTCAATCATCCCAAACATCTCAAATTTCCGAAGGACCAAATCTCAATCTCAAATCGCCCCATTCTTCACCCTTCATAGGCAAAATATTGAAGTTTCGGCGCATTGATGATGAGCTTAACAATTTGTCACTGATAAATATGCAATTCAGTGAGTGCCTCCTTGGAAATTTTAAGTTCCAGCCCTCCCTTCCATGATTGAAGATGTAATTTTTCAAGTACGGGGCAACCGGAAATTATCTTTTCCAATGTCATGCAACCCATCAGTGTATTTCTTAAAACTAGTTCTCGAAGTGAAGGCAGACCCAAAGAAACTGAAATTTCAATGAAACAGAAGTGGCCAATCTCCAATTTTGTGATTGATTTTGCAGTAAAGGCGGCAACACTCTGCAGGAGGGACTATAGGTAATAGGATAGTGTCCTTTCGAGTTAATAATGCTCAATTCTTTCACATTTCTTCTCAGGGCCAATCCTATCCAGTTCCAAACAATATTTCTGAAGTCGATATTATCGCTCATAAGCACGCAGACCCTAAATTTTTCGATGCTTAAATCGTTGAAGTTCCTTTTACGACGTACCAAAGTCTCTTCCAAGAATTTCCATATTATTTGATCGTTGGGAAAGAAATCCTGATCAAAATTGTACACCGGGGATGAGTACCACAAGGATCTCCATCTTCTGGCAAGAAAAGTAGTAGTTCTAGCATCTTTCGCCGGAGAAACGACATAATATGATGACAGATTGGATCTGGTAATTCTGAAATCCTGTCAACATTGTTTATAGAGAGTTCTTGATCATCTTTCTCCATGTTTTGACCTTTTGTAGCTTCCCTTTTTGTGCAAACCCTTATTAGGGTATATGTACGTAAAAAAAATTCAAGAAAAATTTTCTACTATGGCAACATAGTTCGAGTGGATGACTACTGAAGTTTTGGAGCTGACAAGGTTGGACCTATGTAGACTTCGATTCAACCCGTAACTTTTATATGTTTGGACGTGTTAAAATTATTTTGTGTCCAACTGCCAATGAAATTCTGTCAAGCCTACGAGTCTGACAAAATTAGTGGCAAAATCCCTTGAACATAGCACAATTGTTAACATTTTCCAGTTAATAAATGATGGCCTAGATTTTTTTTTATTAGATTGAATTTAGTTTTACTGAAACTTATGATAATTTTCTCTTTATTGAAGGTTTACGACTTCAATTTTTTCTATTTAAACTTTAATGCTTCTATTTATTTATTTATTTTTGTTATGTCCAGCGATCGACCCAAAGGGAAATATGAATAGGTAATCACTCAACCATAACTATGAGTGATCGAGCCGTAAGCCTTGGTTGGATTCCTAATTGCGAATGATCGCAGTGCTGTGAGAATCCTACCAAAGATGAAGTCATGTTTCATTAGGACTTTGTTCTTGTTCTACTAACTAATAACTCCTATCGAATCATACTTTCTTATAAGTATACCTCATTTTAAATGTTTTAAAAGTCATTAACATTTACTAATTCTTATACTTGTATTCTTGATTTTTTTTTTAATTATTTTTTTCATTTCATTCTTATCTTCAACATTTCATTGATCAGTACATCTTATTCGAGGTGAAGGTCTTCATCTAAAAATTCTATTTAGAGAGCTAAAATTGTTTATTTGTGCTCATATTTTTAAACAACCAACACACATGCGCGACTAAGTAATTGTTCCTTATTTTAATGGTTTGTTTGGCAGGGCTTTGTAAAAAGCTTTCTGAGGGAGCCATAGTGGGTGTACTTCCATTAAAAGCTCTTCTAATTAGATAAAATACTTTTAAGAAAATTATTTAAATATTTTCAAAAACAATTTTTAGCTTTACAAAAGCACTGCAAAGGGCCCTTATATACTTGGGGACATAATTGAGACAAGAAGGAAAGGTGAGGAACCTTTAATGTAATTGAAATATAGTTATTTATTTTTAAAAAATGTGGTACCAATATAATTATCCTAATAATTTTTTAAAACTATAATTACCCTAAAATTTATTTCTGCTAGACAATGGTAATTCTACATCTGACCTAGCTGAAATAGTTCATACACCGTATGTCAATGAATTTGGCCTCAATCAATCAGGTCCCTTTTTTATTCAGTTTTGCTACAATTACATCGAGGTTGATATTATTGTGAATAAGTCATTTTACGTGACATACATGTAGCGTTTAATTATTGATGCCACGTAAGACGACTATGACAGTGAACGACTGCAAATAGAATTACTCTTTATGATCTTTTTGACATTGAATGATGCTTTCCATACTTCAAAATCAATCACTAATGGAAGATTGCCATTTTTTATTTTTATTTTTTTTAACCAAATTTAGGTTTTTATGAGGCTGCCTACGCTTCAAGAACTTGTTTCAAGATACATTACAGTAAGTAACTTGATATTGGAACCAAATCTTGAAATTTTCAAAGGGAAAAGAATGGAACAATATAAGATCGGAAATTTGTGATCATTGACACTAATAAAAGCCTGTGTGACACATTCCATGTTGCAACTTGCAAGATTTATTTCTTGAAAGTCCACTCCTAGAAAACTTAACGTTGGAGAATTTTTTATTTTCAAAATTTGCTCATTACTTCGCAAAAGCTTCATTATTTTCGCTAGTTTGAATGTGAAGCATTGGTTGAGGTCAAAATAGATGTCCCAAATCTATTGGTATTAAAAATGTCATGGATAAATGATCACCTTTCATCTATAATATCATCGTTTCTCTTCTAGGTTTCAGTCAATTTGGAATTACACAGTAATAATTCCCCAATTTGATCCAATAAATTGAAGGACTCGTGCAAAAAATTCCAGCATTCGAAAGAAACGTGGATAGCTTGTCAAGAGGATGTCGACTTAATCATATCTTGAAAATGTGCAAGAGTCTTTTTTTCTCAGAATCATACTATAAGTAAAAAAAAATTTGACCCAAAATCCTTACAGACAATCATGGTGCGATATCATTGGAAGAAGAGAAAAAAAAGGAAAAAAAAAGGTCCACTTACATTTTGTCACGTCAGTATCGATACAAGTTGTTAAATATTTCATGTACTTATGGCTTTATTTTTTTGTCATGTGCATGGCCTCAAGAATTTTTGAGGTCAAAATCAAAACTTCACTGGACATTGTCAACGTAACATTCTGAATATAAGGATGATGTTTAAGAAGCTTATGTTTCTTGGGGAAAATGCTCCGAGAATATCCTTTGAGTACTTTAGTTTCGCGAAATAAAGTCTCATATGATGAAAAACTTTAGGTTATTCCTAATTTCAAATCTATTTAAAGACAAAAATGGTTAAAAGTTATGACTATATGGGAACAAACTTACTAGAATTTAGTTCACATGTTTGTTGTGATAGTTTGTGTTCTAGCACCGATCTGGAGCTACTTCTTCAACGAATTTTAAGTAAAATAGAGCAGTTTGGCCCCACTTGTTAGAGGTGCAGTAGAAAATGATGGCTACTTTTCGAAACTAACGGAAATAAAAATCATTTTTTGTCAAAAAAATCGGCTCCAAGCATGGGATTAATTTCATCGTAAATAGTTAAATTATTATCCTTAAACTTTCAATATTAATGCAAAAAGATTCTTTTAGTACAACTCTACACACATTTTGAGACAACCTCACAATTTGTCAATTTAACGGACGAGAAAGAATAAAATCCTGTGTACAGGGCAAATATTCACACGCGGACCCCAATGCAATAAAAATGAAAAAATAAAATAAAATCGACGCCACCCCATGTAAGACCCCTATAAGGGGTCTGTAAGAGCTAGAGCTATACGTCTAGCTCAATCCAACGAGAAATAAAAGCTTGGAAAGTGTGCAATCTAAACAATCAAGTTATAGTGGTGAAAAAACATATTTGGTAGAAGGTTTTATTTCAACTTAAAATCAACAATTAATTTTAATTACACATTTTATCAACTTTTATTAAAATCTACTAAAAATCTAATTTTTAATCTACATAATAAAGTCAAACTTTGTCAAGTACTTTTTTTTTTATCGGTTTTGACTAGGTTGATTTGATCAACTTAGATCCATTTTATTTAGAGGGTGTTTGGTAGGAATTTTTATGTGAAAATGAATTTTTGAATAGTAAATTGATGGGAAATGTGTGGTTGAAAAATAAGAAAAAGTTTTTGATTTACGTGTAATATTATTTTAATAAAGAATGTGTGGTTGAAAAGAAGAGAGAAAAATGCATTTTGATAAAAATGGGTGCCAAACAGGGCTTTATTTTTTTCAAAAAGTTTCTTTTCCAATTTCGAATTTCAAGGCTTGTTAGACTGACTTAGCTAAAAATTCCAGCCAAAGTAATTAATTATTTTTAATCATATATTTAATGATCATCACTTTATCAACCTCTCAATTATATATATTTCATTAATTTGTATTAAAATTCACTAAAAATTTTATTTTTAACAAAATCAAACAAGGACTTAACAAATATTTGTTAATTGTTACTATTCAACTTTTTAACGGATTATACTTCAATTTTAACTTTTATTAAAATATGATAAAAATATATAAAAAGCTTCCAATGATATAATTTACATGAAATTGCTACCTGTAAACAAAAAATTAGACTGCAAACCCTCTGCATATTAATTGACATTTCTGCTCTGTGCTGACCAGAAAACTGATCCTGCTTTCCAACAAGAACAAATTTGATATTCAGTTGTACTTTGGGATATCATTCTGTTTTTACCTTCCTAACAATGTATAACCAATGAAAACCCAGAAAATTTTATCCTTTGCAAGCACCATAACATCTTTTACTCAGAAACACACGCTCCTAGTTTTACCACATTCTGTTTTACCGTTACACTCGTTATGCGAACATCGTCATGCTAGTAAAAATATTTACATGCATAACAAAGCCATTGATAATTTAATAAAAGCTGGATCTTTTGTTTCTGCCCTCAAACTGTTCTACGAAATGCCCAAACGCGATGTTGTTACATGGAACATTATGGTTTCGGGACATTATAGAAATGGGCTTCCTATAAAATCTTTATATTTTTATAATCAGATGGTTTCGGAGGGAATTGTTGAGAATCCGTCAACTTTTTCATCTGTTTTGAGCGTGTGTTGTAATGCAGGGCTGTATAGAGAAGGACTTGTAGTTCATTGTAGAGCGATTATTTTGGGCTTAAGCATGAATATTTACATAAGTTCTGTACTTGCTGATCTATATATGAAAATGGGAGTTCTTGATATTGCTTTAAAATTGTTTAATAATTTGCCCGAGAGAAATTTGGCTACATGGAATGTGATTTTACGTGGGTTTTGTGATATGGGTCGAACGAGAGAGATGTTAAGGTTGCTTAGAAATATGGTATTGGAGGCTGTGGAGCCTAATGGTCTTAGTTTTTGTTATTTCATTCGGGGTAGCAGTTATGAGAGGTGTTTAGACGAAGGAATGCAGCTGCATTGTTGTGTCACTAAGAAAGGATTGGTTGAATCAAATTTGTTTGTAGCCAATGCTTTGGTGGATTTTTACTCTGCTTGTGGGAGTGTGGTCGATGCTTGGAAATCTTTTCAAGTTATTCCACCAGAGGATGTCATTTCTTGGAATTCAATGATTTCGGTGTGTGCATCCAATGGTTTTCTGATTGATGCTCTTGAGTTCTTTGAAAGAATGCATTTTTGGGGCAAGAAGCCGTCAGCTTGTTCATTCTTAGGATTCTTAAAGTTAGCTGGTGCAACAAAGAATATAATACTTGGGAATCAAATTCATTGTTGCGTTTTGAAATTGGGTTTAGACATCGACAGTGTCCTTGTTCTGTCTGCATTGATTGACATGTATGGAAAATGTGGAGACATCGAGAGCTCGGTGGATATTTTTGAGAATGTTCCAAAGAGAGCTCTCGAGTGTTGTAACTCACTTATGACATCTTTGCTTCGATGTGGTCTAATCGATGATGTGATTGAGTTGTTTGGTCTGATGATTGATGAACAGATTGGATATGATGAAGTAAGCCTCTCCTCAACTCTGAAAGCACTGGCGATGTCTACTTTTGCTAGTTCCACCAGCTGCATGTTGCTGCATTGTCATGCAATAAAATCTGGTTATGAATCTGATAATGCAGTCTCTTGTTCTTTGATTGATGCATATTCTAGATCTGGTGAAGTTAGATTTTCCCGCCAGGTTTTCAATCAGCTTTCCTTACCAAATTCCATTTGTTTCACATCTATTATCAGTGCACTGGCGCGAAATGGAATGGGAATGGAATGTCTGGTGATGTTTCATGCAATGATCCAAAATGGTCTAAAACCTGATGAAATAACATTTTTGTGTATTCTAATGGGGTGCAACCATTCAGGACTAGTAGAAGAGGGAAAATCGCTCTTCTATTTGATGCAAAATGATTATGGGATACTCCCAGATAGGAGGCATTATTCATGTATGATTGATCTTTTGGGTCGTGTAGGTTTACTAGATGAAGCAGAGCAGTTGCTGAAAGAAGCACCAAGGGATGGAAAATCTGCGATATGGAGCTCAATGTTAAGGAGTTGCAGAATTCACCAAAATGAACAAGTGGGAAAGAGAGCTGCTGCAACACTAATGGATCTTGAGCCGGAGCATCCTGCTGCTTGGCTACAAGCTTCAAGTTTCTATTCTGAAATTGGGGATTTTGACTCTGCAACACGATTCCAGGAGGTTGCTGTGGCAAGAAAGATTAGAAGAGATATAGGTCATAGTTTGATTGAGGTGCATGGTCACCGGTAAACATGCACCATATATAATAGGTGATCGACAAAATCTGGTACAAAGAATACCTGGAAATACAGAATACTATAGCATCTGGCATTGTCAGACAACTTCTCAAAGAAGAATGTGATTTTGAACTGGAAGAATTGATGCTTTTGCTATTGTTAGTAATTAAATTTGAAATTCAGACTCCGCTAGTGGGAAACCAGAACTGATAGAACACAGATTTAAACTCTTAAGTGCTTAATTCTGTTCTTTTTACATGTTTACAGCAGCTCAAGTTTAGTCTAATGAAGAAGAACTCTGCATGAATATCTTGAAAGCCAGTAGCTGAATTTCGCCCTCCTTTGAGGTACAATTAAAACAGCCTGAGGATCAAGAATTGGCTGGTAATCATATCATTCTTGATTTAAAGAAGTGGCTGAAAGATTTGACATCTGATGAACAGCATCTTATAGTAATTATACCTACAAATATTAGGAACGTCAAAGAGAGAATTTCATTCTCTGCTATTGGAATGTAGTCCTCTGTTTCATTTTCTAGGTGGACAATAGGACTTACTGAATGGAAAGAGTATCGCTCCAAGGCAACTTCTTGATATCAGTGATGGACAAGGTAGTGGCAGATCCAGCCAGTACTATCAAAGCTACTGGACATCGATGGTTGAACTTGTGAGTATTAACATAACTATTCAACTTTGAATACCTCCATCTTAACAATACATTGCACTTAAAATTGTCAGATTTATTTTAGGCAATCACCTTAATACTATTGCCTCATATTTTCTTGTGCTTCTGCGCATAATAAATAAAATGCTGCGGAAAAAGCATTTTCCATTATATCACAGCATCAATAATCTGTGGCATTAAAGAGTCCATCTTTCTTTGCTCAAAAATTAAATGAATTAGTTAAAATTTGATTTCACATTTTGTTGTAATGCAACCAGTGCGGAAGCGGAATCAATTCTTGAATTTTGTAAGATAATAATTTAATTGGAAATTCCTTAATCTTACCAATACAAGGAAACTGAACAACGTTACTAAAAAGGAGAAAAAAAAATCTAAAATCCTAAAATGAAACAAAATACTTATCTAAAAGGGAAAAAAATAATAATTAAAAAAAAAAAAAAATCCTACTATACTAATAACAAACTTCTATTCTACTTATAATAAAATTGTCCTACATAATTAACAATGATTTTTTGTTTTGTTTGTATAATCAACTTCCGAGTAGGATACACCGAGAAGCAGTACAAAATGTTGGCCTACCTCTTTTGGCAACTAGCGAGCAGCATTCATACTGAACAAAGCAGTATCTTATGCCGGCACAAATCAATCAGACCCGATCAATTATACTTGTGAGATGTATTTTGCTACAGACAACAAAGTACTATTAATCTTTTCTCTTAGTTAAGTCATTCAAGATCTTCTCTGTTCTAATATTGTCCTGTTGTTGTTGGCATCTTCATTGTATCCAAAACATGAGCCCGTAAAATAAGCAAAATAAGTCATTTTCTGCTTTGATTGCTTGTCATTTTGTAGTTACTTGTACACAATAGGTAGTAGTTTAGTTCAGAAATCTTGTGTGCCTGCTGGACATGTGGTATTTTAATTGTACATTATAACTGATTATGTGTTGTTTATGATAAACAACAAAGAATAGTACACCACCTGTACTTGTTCTCAACTATTATGTAATATATACGTAAAAGAATGGGGACGATTTTAGTACTCACCTAGTAATAAATTGAAATGATATAAATCCATGATTGAATACCACCAACAGACTAGCTGTTCAATTAGATTTGTGAAATCTAGGAATGTATTATGATTCAAATCAGGGGTGCCAACTAATCCTTGTAATAATGTTCAGAGAATATTTGCTTATATATTATGAATTTACTGGATTATGCTTAAAAGATTATTGATTTGCATCCGTTGCAAAGCCATATTGGATCATATGCATGATTAGTGAAATTACCAAGTTAATTTATCCATAGATTTCTTAACTCTAATTTAACACAAATTCTAACTCTATTTGTTTTGATAAATTTCAAACGTGGTTGCTCATTTCTAGTTGCTCGACTTTCACAGTTAATGTTACTTCACTCTTGAAATACCCTCACATAGTATGCACTTATTTGTTATATACATATATATAATGTTGAATTGTTGTTGTCTAATCTTTTATTATTGTATGGTTGTTGTCTTATCGACTTATCTATACTGAGATTATTGTTACTAGATCATCTTTTTATTGAATAATGTGTATTGTTGTTGCTTCGTCCCCTCTTCTTCTTCTTCTTCATTTATTTATTTATTTATTTTTTTAAATTTATGTCATTTTTAAATTTTACAAATGAAAGGTCAACCTTCTGCCAGGAAAGGAAAGACATTGTTTTCATTTTTTAGAAAGACAGTTCAATCTAGTGAAAGTACAATTCATTACGGAATAAATGAAAAATGAACATTTAATTTCTACCGTGCAACACTTTATGAAGAGAGCTTGCTGGACAAATAGATTTTGGGTTTGTTTGATAGTTATTTTGAGAATTAATTTTTTGATCGTTAGAGAGAAAAACGGGTGTTACTATGAGAAAAGAAGTAAAAAATATGACGGCTTGAAAGTGAAATAACGATTAAAAAATTGATTTTTTGGAGTGAGAAATCAATACCAAACATGCACCTAGATTTTATCATAGATAAAAATTATGTTTCAAATCCTCGACGTAAGCAACTCAATACTATTGTCCTTCAATATATGTTGGAAAAATAAGTAAATGGGTCACTTTTGGCATAAATTTGAGTGGAACCCGTTGGTCCGATTTGGAAGATCAAAGTTGATCTGTGTTCTCCTCCGTGAGAGTATCGAAACCATATATTTACTTACCGAAATTGATTAACGGATGAATGAGAAATTGGAGCTCAAAATTGGCCATTGGAAAATAGTTTATGTGGAAAAAGTGACATTTGTCCCACATAGAAAAATGAAGAAAGCATGAACCACTTTATATATGCCTACACTTTGGAATGGTGTAATATCATGTGTAGTATAGAGGCTTTCTCCACGCGCCCGCAGGGGGTGCAAATCTCGGACCGAAATAGCCTTCAAACCTTAAACTTGGGTGCGGGCGTGACCTGCGCACACGAATTTCAGACCGAACAAGGCAAAATTCGCCCCTTCGGAGAGCCCACGTTTTGCAATTTTTTTTGCTTTCTCCAATGACTTTTGAGTTTATGAAACTGCAAAAACTCTAATGGATTCCCAATGGTCACAGTGTTAATGAGCAGTAACTTCAATGGACTCCCAATGGTCACAATGTTAATGGGCAGTATGCCTATAAATAGACTCATTCTCCAGCAATCTAACACACTCGAAAATCTCACCTACATTCCTGCATACACAGTTTCTTGAAAACAATAATATTTGCAAAAACATAAAATCTTTTGGTCCTAAAAGCAAAGCCAATCCGTGAATGCTTATGGGTTTCTATTGGCCACACATTTTTTATTGACTGATAGATACAAACAAAAAATGACAAAAAAGGGGAAAAAATTGTTTTAAGATGATATATACACATAATGGATACAAGAAGTTCCACTCTTTATTTTTCGATAAATTTTCATCGTTCCCTTCAATTTATCACTATTTTTACTAGAATTTGACTCTGAACGTAGTTAATAGGTGATGTCTCTGTGAAATGTACGCATCACATTATTTGTCAACCTACCACAACCCTCCTTATCGGGGTTTTGAAACTAGATAAGAACACAAGCAAAGTTTTGTGTCTATTTTAGATCATTTTGTGGAATTAATCAATTGAATTTGACATGGTAATTAAATGCTCATTTTAATTTTCATATATATATATATATATATATATAGGATTTTTACCTTTTCAAATAGGTCAAAATTTGAATATTATGGAATTTCTGCAACACGATTCCAGGAGGTTGCTGTGGCAAGAAAGATTAGAAGAGATATAGGTCATAGTTTGATTGAGGTGCATGGTCACCGGTAAACATGCACCATATATAATAGGTGATCGACAAAATCTGGTACAAAGAATACCTGGAAATACAGAATACTATAGCATCTGGCATTGTCAGACAACTTCTCAAAGAAGAATGTGATTTTGAACTGGAAGAATTGATGCTTTTGCTATTGTTAGTAATTAAATTTGAAATTCAGACTCCGCTAGTGGGAAACCAGAACTGATAGAACACAGATTTAAACTCTTAAGTGCTTAATTCTGTTCTTTTTACATGTTTACAGCAGCTCAAGTTTAGTCTAATGAAGAAGAACTCTGCATGAATATCTTGAAAGCCAGTAGCTGAATTTCGCCCTCCTTTGAGGTACAATTAAAACAGCCTGAGGATCAAGAATTGGCTGGTAATCATATCATTCTTGATTTAAAGAAGTGGCTGAAAGATTTGACATCTGATGAACAGCATCTTATAGTAATTATACCTACAAATATTAGGAACGTCAAAGAGAGAATTTCATTCTCTGCTATTGGAATGTAGTCCTCTGTTTCATTTTCTAGGTGGACAATAGGACTTACTGAATGGAAAGAGTATCGCTCCAAGGCAACTTCTTGATATCAGTGATGGACAAGGTAGTGGCAGATCCAGCCAGTACTATCAAAGCTACTGGACATCGATGGTTGAACTTGTGAGTATTAACATAACTATTCAACTTTGAATACCTCCATCTTAACAATACATTGCACTTAAAATTGTCAGATTTATTTTAGGCAATCACCTTAATACTATTGCCTCATATTTTCTTGTGCTTCTGCGCATAATAAATAAAATGCTGCGGAAAAAGCATTTTCCATTATATCACAGCATCAATAATCTGTGGCATTAAAGAGTCCATCTTTCTTTGCTCAAAAATTAAATGAATTAGTTAAAATTTGATTTCACATTTTGTTGTAATGCAACCAGTGCGGAAGCGGAATCAATTCTTGAATTTTGTAAGATAATAATTTAATTGGAAATTCCTTAATCTTACCAATACAAGGAAACTGAACAACGTTACTAAAAAGGAGAAAAAAAAATCTAAAATCCTAAAATGAAACAAAATACTTATCTAAAAGGGAAAAAAATAATAATTAAAAAAAAAAAAAAATCCTACTATACTAATAACAAACTTCTATTCTACTTATAATAAAATTGTCCTACATAATTAACAATGATTTTTTGTTTTGTTTGTATAATCAACTTCCGAGTAGGATACACCGAGAAGCAGTACAAAATGTTGGCCTACCTCTTTTGGCAACTAGCGAGCAGCATTCATACTGAACAAAGCAGTATCTTATGCCGGCACAAATCAATCAGACCCGATCAATTATACTTGTGAGATGTATTTTGCTACAGACAACAAAGTACTATTAATCTTTTCTCTTAGTTAAGTCATTCAAGATCTTCTCTGTTCTAATATTGTCCTGTTGTTGTTGGCATCTTCATTGTATCCAAAACATGAGCCCGTAAAATAAGCAAAATAAGTCATTTTCTGCTTTGATTGCTTGTCATTTTGTAGTTACTTGTACACAATAGGTA